CCCAAAACCCCAAAACCCCAAAACCCCAAAACCCCTGGACACAACATCTAAAGAATAGATTCATAGAGTAAGATTTAAATTTAAAAACTACTGTCAAGTTGTTTGAAATGGAGGGAAAAAGATCAATAGCTAACTAATCAAAGTCAAAATTAAATGTTGACCAAATTAATAATATTGATTCAGCAGATGATCAGTTTGAATTTAAGTAGAGCCAAAGTATTAGCTAGTCTACAAGTAAATAAGAAAAACATGAAATTATAGAAAGTTAAATTATGGTTGAAACTGAGGGCGAAAATGCTCCTAGCAAAATTAATAGTAATGAGTTGAAATAAGATGAAGATATTGCAGACTTATTAGCACAAGAAAATCTAATAGTTTGAAGAATATTCCACAAAGGCAATACAAATTAAAAGAAGGAAAGTTTTTATAAACATTAAATAGTTAGAGTGTACTATTTAGATATGTATGGGGATGCCGAACCTATACGTATGTTGCTATCACATGCCGGCATAAGTTACGAAGATATTTACATGAATTATCAAGAGTTTTAAAAGATAAAGGAAAAAGATTAAAGATTTGAATTTTAAAGAACTCCAATTCTTGAGTTAGATGGGTAGTTCTATGCTCAATCTTATTCAATTTTGAGGTTACTTGGAAAGATGTATGGATATTATCCTGAGAATTCAATTGAAGCTTGGAAAGTGGATTCTGTGATGGATCAAAGCTATGACCTCGAAAAAAACTATTTGAAGCAATTCTTTTAAACAGATAAAGAAAAGGCACAAAATCTAAAAGATAACTATTTTTAGAATCAACTTCCCACTTATTGCGAGAAGATTTAGAAAAGATTGATAAAAGCTGGCAATATTTTTATTGCAGGAGAATAGCTTACTATTGCTGACTTTGTTAATGTTGCTTGGGCATACATACTACCTTATAATATTGCTTGCTAGCATAGTTAGGAACATATAGAGGTAATCAGTAAATACCCAGACCTAGTAGCTTATTTTGATAGAATGACTAAGTAAGTGAAAGATCATTTAGACAAAAGACCTTTGGGACTAGGCTATTGAATAATTCAGTTATAGTTTAAGAAAACAGTTTAGGAAATAAACTTTATTCGGATTTAAATTTATTAATGGGATTTATTCTAATATTAAACTGAAATGATTTGATGAGTTAATCTAAAAAATGCATGAAAACTTTATCAAATTAACAGTATGGGGTTTTGGGGTTTTGGGG